ACATAGCGCAGTTTTGAAACATGGATATAAGAGAGAGGCAGTGTTGTCTCTGGTTTTCATGATGAAACGACAGTGCGATCCAAACAGAAAATTGTTTGGTGTTGTGTGTTGCTTCTGGTTTCATGGTGAAAAGAGCGCTCGCATGATTGATGTTGAGATCACTCGCATTGGCGATGGTGGTGTTGCATTGTAGTGTTATGAAAAGGGCGTGGGCTTCAGCTTCTTGGTTTTGAGCCCATCTTTGAGAATGCGCACCAAGTACTTCTGCAAAATATGTAGCCGTGCAGGAGGTCAGGAAAATGATCGAGCTGCATCCACGGTGGTACTGTGCCATGCCTGGTCCAGTTGGTAACGAGCGTCCTGCACCGATTCAGCTACGTGCAAGCCGATCAGGACTGCTTGAAATTCATTGTCGCCGCTGTGAATGCTCTGTTCAGAGGTGCAGGATCGAGTGTTCAACCGCCCTTGTTAGGTTTTGGACGGGGAAACATTTTTGTGAGCTGCTTACATACGGGGTTGGGTAGTTTTGCTTTTCGTGTTAACGCTGTTTTCTGTTGTTTTGTTCCCTCGGATTCCACGAGCAGTTCTTGTTGCGCGTCGTGGCACTGCAAATTCATAGGGATACATTGCCTTTTGTCCGCCACCCACAAAGGAAACCGTTTTAGCGCTACGTTGTACCGTCTCATTCGCGAAAAGAAACCAGGCAGCTTGAAAGGGTTTGGGTCTGGGGTGGGAGTTGGGGTTTGGGGTGGTTGGGTGTTGAGTTTGGGTGAATGTTGAGGTAATTTGGCAAGGGTGGGTTGATCAGTGGAAGGGAGCCGGGTGAACGGAAAGCACGGAACGATTTTATGAGATGAACACCGAGTGTCTGAACCTTCCATCAATCGCCAAAGAGTGGACAGTAATGTTTCTCAGCACAACCATTAAAATGCGGAATCTTTGGCGTGTGTGAAGATGAATGATGCCATTGTAAACTGGACAGTAACTTGGCTCAAAGTAGAATTTCCATAGCATTGAAGCTGCGATTTGGTGGTTGCAGCCTGAGCTGTCGATTCTGATGTTGTTGTGTTGTTGTTGTTGGATCCTGACATGAATGCGCATGCTTCTGGGACATCAGGCCGGAAGCGCCAAGCACAATGGCCCAAGACCGCAAGGTGCCTCCAGTGTTTGCACTAAGGAGCGACGAGAGGAGTTTTTGGAACTTTCGGCCGTGGCCGAGGTTTTTGTTGGAGGCGTCCCTCAGGATTTGAACCAAGACGACCTGTACGTTCCACGGTCGCAGTCAGTGTGATGCAGGCCTTGCTTGCAGTTCTTGAATGCTTCGATGTCATCGACTGAAGGCTATTTTCAGCGAGCATGCTGGAGTGAAGAAAGCGTGGCTGCAAAAGTGCCGACCCGTGATGTGTGCGTTGATGCGCGTCGTCCTCAGCTGCACAGCTGCTATACTTCCGAGGTGCCGAACCACAGACGAAAGCGGGAACGGCGTTCGGACCCCAGTCGGGACTGATGCTAATGTGAGTTTGCCCCGGCTTGCATCATGTCGGCTGATAATAGATACGAGGCCAACGGACCGCAGAATCACCGGGGCTTCGGCTTCGTGATATTTCATGATGCCTTGGCAATCGACGAACTACTGGGGTGCAGGGCTGAGCAGTTGACAGTGGGAATCCAGGTCAGTTCATCCTGATGCATGTGTTTGAACTAAGGACTGCGGCGTCGCGGTTCATTGTCCTGCGAAACGGCACAAAACTGGAAGTGCCTTATCTTGAGGGTGAAAGCAGCTTGTCGTGTGGAGTGAACATAGTCAAGTCCGAATGAAGCCAAACCTGCCACACTGCAAGGTGAAGCGCGCTCTCAGCAGCAATAAGATGAGCTCACCCCAGGTTCGTTGCTTACTTTTTTTGAGTTGGTTGATGCCGTCTGCTAGTAACTAGTAGAAGCAAGATTTGTTACGACAGTACCATGAGGCAGACGTCGGTGATTCGGTTGGTGCCTGAGTGAAGCGGCGCGTGCTCAAGAGGATTCGTTGATTGAGCAGATTGTGAGGGCATGAGGTAGCACTGGCAAAAGGCACTTCAGTCTGTTTGACGTGCTCGCGAGCCCTTGCACGGTCAGGCAAATCGGGCGCGTGCGCAGCCACCCTTGCACATGTCTGGACCGCTTGAAGCCGAGACTGCCGCTTCAAGTTCAAGGGTTTAAAGACAATGGCAACTTGGTACTTGCATGACGACAGAGCTTGGCGTGCCGGTCACACTGAAGAAAGCCACGAAGCTTTGAGTGGCTTGTTGAGTCGAGTCGTGTCTTCGCAGCCTTTCCAACCTGCCAAGGCCGCGAGTGTTGCCTTCGAACATTGCCAGGAATGCCCGAACTCCAATTCAGGCGCGGTTGGCTCCGGCTCGGCTAGTTTGCAGTGGGTTCCCCTGGTTGCCGGCCATCTTCTCGCGTCTCGCAGGCAGACTGGGGCACTCGATTGCCGAACAACGAGACCATCCTGAGGCTGAGGGATTAGGGTAGTTTGTCCTGCAGCAACAGCTTTTCACTAAGTGTGCAAAGCGACCCAGGCAGTTGTCATTGATGCACGGAGCTGGATACCCTCTGCAAGCGCAGGCATCGAGACTGGTTCATGTGTGAAGTCAGATGGGCTTCGATAGCAAACCGTCAGACAAGAGCTGCAAAGGGCCAGACCTCTCCACTGACATCACCGCTGACGAGCGCTCCAGCATATGCTTGGCACTAAAAGCAGAGCACGCACGAGATCGAATGTCGGTCTGTATAATCGTAGAGACCTGTATTTCAATGCGAGGCTGCACCAACTTCGGCTACAACAGTGCCCCAGACACCTGCCTGCAGTGTGCCAGGTTTGGTGTCTTTGTTTGGTGCATGTCATGCACGGAGTAGGAGCCCACGCTCAGTCTCATAAGGTCCGCTTCCTGTACAGGCTGCGAGGGATTTACCGAAAGATTTCTGCGTAGTATGTGTGAAGAAAGAATTTGAATGGTTGTAACATGCGGAATATGCAGAAAGGAAGAGTGAAGTGGCTGGTGAAGTTTTTGTATCAGTGCAGTGTCCGTACTTCATGTATGATGGATCTGTGTGGAATTAAGAATCCGTACTTCATGTTCGTGCAATCAGTGCGGAAAGAGGCGATAATAATCTTTGACGACTTTGCGTGCAGAAACTGACTCGTTTTCTTCCTTCTTCACTCTTCTTTGCTCTCTTCGCTCTTTGTCATGCTTTGTTGCGCACAGGTTGGATTCTTTTCACTGTTGTTCAACAGTATATATTTATGAAATCATTTTGCATTCATTTTTCACCGCTTCACTCTTACCTGGACGGATTCATCCTCGATTCTTGTTCACTCCCGGTTAGTCCAGTTCTTTAGTTGCGTTCACTGACTTCAGCCTTATTCACTGTTGTTCTTTTCACTCTCCTTCATATTTCTTTACTCATGGTTGACTCTTTTTTCGTCCGTTCTTCTCACTCATGTTCACTTTAGTTCATCACTTCTGATCTTCACTCTTGCACTCATTTTCATCATCGCTTTTCATACGCACACTTTCGATTGTTTGTCATTGGTCTGTTCATCTGTATCTGCTTTGTTTGTTTGTCCGTCATATTTCCACCGTCCTGTGTTTGTTGTTCGTATCGTGCTTGTGATTGAACGACCCTGCCCGGAATCATGGAAGGCAGAAGTATATGTCCTGTGCCCAAGAGTCCACCCCGACGAGCTGAACGCCATCGAATGCCTCTCCACGGCTCGACCCTAACCCACTCCTCGACACACAGAAAAGAGCGATAAAAAAGTGATTGTCGAATGATAGAGACATGACTCCAGAGATGCAAAAGCGCCCCAGGCTCGAACCCTTTGCTGCATGAAACACCACCCCTCACCACAATCCCCGCCCATTTCGGCCCACCCGGGCAGTCGAGGATTAGGTTTGTTTCCCGAGGCTCCATCATGTTCCCGTGCTAGATACAGCCATGCTGTAAAGGTTGCTTGACAAAGAGTGTCAGGTTGACTTGAACACGACAAACAAATCACAGTACAGTGATCATGACTTCGAAATGACGCTCGAATGACACTAAGTTGAAACACAGGACTGATGAAGGTTTTCCAAGACCTGCAGGCCCAAGATGCTGATCAGGTTCGAGGGTGTAGTCCTCGACCTGATAAACCCGACGCCGTGTTCGACGAAGGAAGGAGGCTGTTCCCGAAGCCCTGACCCCTGGATTTAAGCTTAAGGGCCGAGTTTCGTGGTGTTTGGCAAGATGACAAGAGCCTCATAAGTATAACGCAGAAACATCCAACCTGCACCTGCGACGGGCTGTCATGAAGCGAGTCGCCTAGTCGCTGTTCTACTTTTGTTGATGGCCCAGTATCCGAGGATTCGTGCCCCTGCAGCTCGTCCCGATGGGCGCAATGTGCCTCTGCGGAATGCCATCATGCAGTGCATCTTGCATGCTTACCGCGCAGTCGCAGTCGGTCTCGAGCTCGAGAGAGGCGCCGGCTCATGCCAGGTTCTACGAAGCTCACAGACCCGAAAAGCTGACAGAGCGCGACTTCATTGACTTCATCTGCAACGTCGGGAGCCGTGATCACACTGTTTCGAGTTGGGTTCGGCTGCCAGCCCGAGGTTTACGAGGGCCGCGAAGCTGAACTGGATGAGGTGTGTGTAGTGTGTGTGTGTGTGTGCGTGCGTGATTGTGTGATCGAAGCATCCGACTCCGAAACGTGCTGGCAGGCACTGCGGTTGAAGTACGGAACCGGTCTTCAACTTCCGCAGTTGGAGCCCATCAGAATTGAAGATGTCCTGTATGACCAGAGCTCTTACTGAAGGCTGTCATCTTCGATGCAGTCCATGACGGATCCTGGAAGGATGCCACTCAGCTTGGGGCCCAGTGCATCATGCTGTCGAACATGCTTTCGGCCCCCTGACTCGCTTCACACTTTGTGCTGCAGGCGATACTTACGCGAGCTTGCAGGAGGAGCAACCGCCTTTTGCATGCTCTTTTTCACGAGATGCGCCAAAGGCAGCTGCATGCAGATCCACGCACATTGGACAGACAGTTGAACAGGCCTGGCTACCACCAGGCAGCGCGTTGCAACAGCAGCAGAAGCCCGGCGGCAAGAGAGCCTCTCACAGGGTTGACCTCACAGGGTTGACATGCTCATACACAGCTTCACCCAAGTGTCGGCACCCTCTTGATACTTCCTGATCTCAGGCTGCAGCAGCACTTGCAGCAGATCCAGCGTCTCGGCAAACAACATCCGACACGGGCATGCTGTCTTGAGGAAGGGATTTACGTTCCACAGCTACCGGCGTGGTGCGTGCGTCGACAGTTCGGGGCTCAGGCAGCGCATGCCGCTTCCTTCACCCTGGTCTCCGCCTCAGCATGCGGAAGACTCTAGGTTCTTTCACAGCAGCACGGTGGGTGGGTCTTCTTATTCTCGGCCTTGTCGCTAGTGTCCTGGCCCCAGGCTGACCCCTTCCACGCCGGATGTGTACAGCATTGGCTCCAGCCACACTTCAGGCTTTGCGTTCTTGTCAGAGATTGCTCTCCTGCCCCTGCGATAAGACCAGCTATGGCGATTTACTCTATCCAATACGAAGCAGCAACGGCAGGTGGGCAGCACAATACCCTTTTCTCAGACACTGAGGAGGCAGGATGTTGTCGTTGTGACATGTCATGAACGACGCTCGTGTCCTTCACAGGGCCCGGATTTGAGCTGGATCGACCAGATTGTCGGCGAGGATGGGTTGGAAGTTTCAGATGAGGTGGTTCGCGCCATCATAGAAAAGCCGCTGCCCCAGAGCTTCGGCTTAGGATTGTAGAAAACCAATGTGTGCACGCATTGTGGGCAGAATCTGCTAGCATCTTTGCAGTTGCTACAAATTCTGATTCTTGATCCTCGATGCTTGAAACATTTTATGCAAAGGTCTTCGACAAAGCACCGAACGGAGCTAATGCAAGCTGTCCGTGCCTGAGATTCGCGAAGTTTCAGGTTGCCGACTCTTTTGCCAAGTTGCAGGAAAGTTTGTCAAATGCAGGTTTGTTTTGACTTTCTTATGTTGCTCAGCTTGTGTTCTTAACGGGCGTTGCTGCTGCCGCTGCGGCGGCGGCGGCGGCTGCTGCTGCTGTTGTTGTTGTTGTTGTTGTTGTTGTCGGTGAGGTTGGTATATGCGGGTTAAATGCCATGGGTCGAGGCGATCACCGGTCGGCAGAGGATCTCTGTTTTGTCCCAGCCAGCTCACCTTTTTATGGGGGAACGGGGAGATTGCGGGAAGAGTCGGCGGTGACTTCGCCGACGGTCGGGCGGTCTCCGGGAAGGTTGATCGATCGGTGACGCGATCTCGCTTCGGAAGGCTGTGGCTAAGTAATTACGATGCTCGGGTCGTTTCAGGTTTCAGGGGTTGGGGTTGTGGTCTTGTCCGTTTCTCTGTGATTCTCGGACACATCGTTCCATACAAGATTTGGACCGGTTTTGCAGGGGTTGTGGTGATGGTGGTGCTTTCCATCTACGGATACTTTTTGGCCTGTTCCCACTCTCTGCTGCTATTCCGAGCACGGACTGCAGCAATGCTTTTGTCGATTCTTAAGTTCTTCAGCTTGTGCTTGCAGCTTAGAGGTTGTGACAGGTGGCAGATCCAACAATCGATATCAAAAAGGAAAGCGATCCAGCAAATACCTCTAGGTGACCAACAACTTTTCTGCTCTTTTACGGACGAAGGACTCATGTGCTGAGTCAGTGGTAGGCCGCTAGTGCCGTTGTATTCCGCCATAGCAGTGCCATTCTTTGTCATCAGCAAGTGCCGGGCACATACGTTCCCCGAACGTCTGTTCTACTGAGGTCGTTTGGTAAGCTTGCGCCGAATGCCAGATCTTGTGATCTTAGCGGGCACGCTGAGTCTTTCTCTCTTCCTCCCCCTCTCTCTCCTTCTCTACATCCAGGAGATGTAAGCAACATCCAGGGTTGCTGAAGGTCGGTTTGGAGAGCGTGATTCAGCTGCCTTCCAGCCGAAAGACATGGGGCATTTGTGCTCGGGCTCGAGAAGAGAAGCTGCACTTGGACCTTTCTTTGGAGCAGGGTCTGGCAATTTAAAGCATTTCGCCCTTGTTTGGCTATCGGTACTTTCGGGCCCGAGCGCATGCCCGTGTCATGCCGGCAAATGTGCAAACTAGGTGAGCTTGCGGGCACGTCTCTGAGGGTGCCGGCGACTGTGGAATGTTGTTCGAGCGCTTCCCAGACCCTCTAGAAGCCTGAATGATGTTGGTTTGCGCTTGCTGCGCCGTCTGGCTTAGCCCTTCCTGGCCTTGTACAGCGTCATGCTTGGGCGACCGGATGGCCAGCGAAGCCGCAAAGCCGGGCACCGTAATCAGGTGACATGCTGCTGCAGGTGACTGAGTAGCTACAGCACCTCCGGCGCTGCCTCCAAGGAGTTTGGAGCCCTTGTAACTTCTCCCCTCAGAGCAAGCAAATCCCAGCGAGCTGTTTCTACTTGTTCAAAGGGCTCCGCGATCTCAACTTTTTACAGCTTTGGTGGCGTCTCCAATTGGTCTTCTCATGCCGGCACCTGAGTTCTACAGCCATCGTTCCCCCAGGCCTTTCTGGCTTAGAAGCCTCTGAGAGGTGATTGTCGTGGTTAACCAAAACCCTAAACCCTAAACCCTAAACCTCTGAGGTCGTGTTGTCGTGGTTTTGCACTCGGTTTGCTTGGAAGCGGCTCGGAGGCTCTCTCTTGCCGGTCTGCGTTCCCAGGTCTGAGCAGTGCGATTGCCCACGTAGATGCGCAGGCTCTCTGTCGAACTTTAGATGCTGGGTGAAATCGTCCGGCTTGTGCGTCCCTCAGCGCCAGAGCTCGATACACCTGTCTCATGCATGCCGTGGTGCAGGGCTTCGTGCCGGCTCAGGTGCCATTAGATCTTCGAAAACTTTAGCCATTGAGGGAGAACCCCGGGAGCACTGCTGACAGCAAAGAGCGCTCAGCCGTGTTCTGCTGGGAATCTGATTTGCTTGGTCGTTGTTCATCGTTATAGTTTGTCGTCTTTTCGCAGTACCCGAATATTACCTGACACGGTGAGGCATCTATTGTTGACACACCCTCTGGCAGTACACTAGCAGCCAACAGCTGCAATGCTGTGTAAGCAGCCTCCGCAAATCCCCATCCGGATGGCAAAGGGCATCCTGTGATGCATGTGGAAGTGCATTCACCCTGAAGGTCAGGAAGGAAAGTTTGTATTGGACATGCTACTTGCAGTTTCTTTCAAGCTCAACCGAAACTGCACAGGGTGAACGCTTCACTGGGCTTTGCCAGTACTCTTAGCCTGTTCGAAGTGCTTTTTAGCGCTGGGCTTTGATGCAAGCAGGCTGGGTTGGTCAGATGAATGTGAGGATGGCTTCAGTGACGGCTTTGTGTGCTACAAGGGTTCCTAAAACAATGCTGGCAACCACTAGAAGTAATCTGAAAAGATTGATGTTACCAGTAGCCTGAGTCTCTCCTCACACATCCGGACATCGGCAAAATTCGAGACCCAAGACGCGTTACGTACCTCTCTTTTGAGATGTGCACGCCGTTTGTCAGCGGCTCAGCAATGTTCCTCACAGCTTCAGTCCGTGTCTCACGACATGAGTGTTTGCCAAGCGATGGCATGGCATGGCTTGGCATGCCATGGCACATGACTGTTTTCTTGCCGAGGTGTCTGCGCTTGTTCGCAGAAGAACTGCGCGCAGGTGAACCAGATTTCGCTGAAGACTTGGTAAGATGAAGCTTTGAAGGTGAGGGTCAACACCTTCATGGGGTGTTCTGTTCCGCAGAACTGCAGTTGAATTATATACTGTACCTTTCATGACGTGTCATCATCAGTCTGTTTACCTGGGAAAGGCTCTGTTGGCCCCTGTCTCTTTTAATGCTGTGCGATCTGGATTTCAAAAGGTGTCACTTGCATGTCAAGCCCGAGGCTTGTCATGTGTTACAAAGTCAGGATCGTAGATCACTGGATTGCCGATTATTCGCGAAGTGGCCGATGTTTGAAATCCTTTTCGTGCATTGTACCATATGGGAGCACGCTTTTGCGGGATAGCTGCGCTTCAAGAACAAATAGTACCGCACTCAGCTTTTGTCAGAACTAATTTAGCTCCCCTGCTGAAATGCGTAGTGATATGTCCTTCAGGCGCTGATTCGAGCAGCTTGGACGATCTTCTGTGCCGGGGCCTTTCGCCATGCCTGCTGGAATGGAGGTGAGGTTTCGGGCGGAAGTCCATCTGCCAAGGTCAAGACAACTGGGTCGAGATAGTGAGGCCTAGGCCGAGTCTCATGCCTTGCAGCTACAGTTTCTAATGCAGTAACCAGCAGTGTGCCAAGCCGTCTTCACAGCGCTTGCTGCAAAGATCGTGTTGGGAGTTTGCTTTGCCGCAGGCGCAGGAGCACTCCATGTCTGAATTTCCCAGTGGGTTGCCAGGTGACGGCCTCGCCGCCTCGCGGTGACCGCTTCGCGTGAGCGCTTCTTTGTTCAGTGCAAAGTCAGACGCTTCTTTGGTGCGCTTATCAAGGGATCTGCTGTGACCAATGCTTCGGACGTGCGACTTACGAGCTATACACGTGGTCGGAGATCCAGAGAGGGCACATTGTAGCACATCTCTGCCTCAGCATGGCCAAGTGCCATCCTCGGACCTTCGTGGATCCAGCTATGCTCCGAGCATGTATGTCGACTATAAGGTTATAATAAGCCTTCTGTGCGATTTGGGGCACTTGCAAGGATTTTCCACCATGCGGGGTCGGGATTAGTAGCAAGAGGACTCGCAGAACCTGGCGAAGTCACGAGTGCTTCGATAACATATGAGGGAAATTCAGAAGCAGAAGCAGCTGTTTCAAAACTTGAGGTATTGTACCTGATGATGCAGATATGCGCAGAGAGATCATTTGGACAGCTGTGAAGCAAATGCGGCGTGTCCTTTGCGAGGCTGCCTGAAAGCAGCACTCCCTTTACATGCTGCATAATTTGTTGCTGCTTTCCTGTTAGTGTGCATCCGGTCTACTCTAGTCTCAGTTTACCAAGTGGTGGGTCAGGCTCACGTCAACCACCGTGATGCAGTGTATCCCCTCTTGCTTACATGCATGTCCTGGGAAACGGCATGTGTGACAGCGCGACGGGTCAAAATGAATGGATCTGCATGCAGTATAAGCTTGGATGCTGTGCTCGTTTGAAGATGATGATTGTGGGGACTTGTGGTGACGCTCATGATGTGGACTGCGAACAGACTTCGATGCCTCTT